AGAGAGAGAGAGAGAGAGAGAGAGAGAGAGAGAGAGAGAGAGAGAGAAAGAAAATAACTATTGTTTGTTTTTGTGCTACTTTCAAATTTTATCTTCTCATTATGAATATATTAAATTATTAGAATATAAGAAATGTTTAATACTTTAATACTTTATTTTAATACTTTATTTTAATACTTATATTGCTGAACTATATGATTCATGGATGATGCGTAATTATCATAAATTTTAGTGCTAATATTAAAAGAAATGTATGCATTAAAAATTATAGTACAATTGTATATTTCTATTATTTTGTCCCAAGTCTCCCTGAAATGGGGGGAATTAGAACAAAATTTAATTTTACCATTTATTTTATTGTATTCTTATTTATTAAGAAAGTTCTACGACTCAAAATGTATAAAAATTACCTCTGAATACAATAAGAAATAAATTCCACTTGTTGGGGATAAAATTTTGAAAAACAAAAGCTACAAAACAAATGTCAAAATTGTCTCCCCTACAATCTCCCCTACAAATTGTACATTTTATTTTTCTCTAATTTAGTGGAATTTATAGTGAGTCTGGTTATCACTTTTCGAACTTCTTTTTATAAGGGAACTTAACACTTTCAGAGTCTTTTAATATTTTTTTTAATGATCGTGACGACTTTTATTAATCACGAGCTCAGCGTCCAGCTGGAATACGCCGCACGCGCTTTCAACGGGTAGCTGGCGCAGTGTCGAACACGTTGTTGAATTTTATCGCGCGCGTACGATTTTATTTTTAAGTCAGTCCCAAGAGTGGCGACGCGCATATCTGCATACGCCGAAGATTCATCCACCGAGTTGACTGACGAGCGCCGCCCTCCCCTAATCGTTCGATCGCCAAAAAATTTACAAAAAAGGCGCCACGCCGTGCACGAGGACGACAGGGGACGGAGAAGAGAAAGGGACCAGGTTACGGAGGAGAGTCCCAAGAAACAAACTGAGACGAAACTCTCCCTCCGTACCCGGGCACCGCCCTTGCACTCCACCCATCCATCTCCGGCGTGCATATATTTTTGGGCGGCTAGTTTTTCCCCCGAGGGAGATTTATCATGTCCCTACGCCTCTTCTCTCGCGGGCTGCTCCATCAGTGCCCGACGTGTGGCAGGGAATAATTGGCAGAGCGGAGGAGTGGCCACATCGTGCTTCAGAAACTACTTCGGAGATAGCTCGTGGGAGCAGAGTAGCTCAGTTACGGAGAAAACGATAATTCCCGCAAATATAGATAAAGTAATCTGCGAAGCCGAAAATTGCGTATTTGATATTTGCATGTTAATTTTAGTATATTTTTATACAAACTTTTATGCTAATATTATCGTGTCGTAAATAATGAAAAAATCAGATTTTTTTGGCTGGACGAAATTTTTTCACTCATTTGTTAAATAATAAAGAATTAGTCTAAAGAAAGTGCAATGATTAAAAGAGACGTCAAAAAAAAATTTGAGAAATTTATATTTCTCAGATTTCTTACTAAATTTTTGCTCATGCAAATACGGATAAGTAAAACCTCTCAATAGCTATCATCTTCAGACTCGATAGTCTCTCAATGGTCCCAATAGTCTACGCATGCGTCATTTAAGGAATGTAGGGTCAATAGAGATAAGAGTGGAAATAAAAAATCAGAGTATTCTGAAGCTAGGTTACATGGAAGAAAAACTATTGAGAGGCGACAGACACTTCAGGGACGGCTATTGAGAAGTTTTACTGTAGCCAGATATTAAATTGTTCATCTCTTTTCTGAAATATCTATAACTTTCTCCTTCGGAAACGCGTTGAACAGGGCAAGAGAATTGTCAATACGGCATTGTCTGCTACGGTGAATAATAAATATCACGAGGTCGTTACAAAGGCGCTCGAGCGAGCAGTCATTCGATATTAGTTCGCTTGAATACATCATCTAGAAATGTCGGAAGAAACCAAAAAGGAGCCGAATCGAAATATGGCCATGGCAGAATTTGCTGAAGAATTTACCCGATTAATCATTCGTTATACGAGAATTTCAGTGAACGTAAGTATTCGCTTGATTAAAAATCATTATTCTACACGAGAGTAAAATATAGTCGATATGAGAGAGTGTCAATATGCATGGCTGTTATTCTATTTGTACATGTTTACACGTACGTATGCGTGTTTAACGAGTACAAGTTATCGCAAATACGGTGAAAATTTTCATATAATCTCGTATTCGTATAATCTTTCATATAATATCGATGATTATTACGCGTGCCTTTCAGGACGATCTATCGAAAAATGCTCCCTTGCGTTTAATTAGTGAAGATCTAGTGTACACCATGCATCATGTGCTTCATGCACTCAATATAAAGGGCTTCTATAGTGAGGCTGAGAAGATTGAGAGTATTAAAAGAGAAATGTATTTATTAAAAACATCCAATGGCGCAAATGCTGCTGATATTCCAGAAACATCGGTCGTTACACATAACAAACACGAACCAGATATTGAGAAAACGTACACGTTATTTTGAAACTTTCGTTTATGGCCTAACGGTTATTTATAAATATATATTTCTTATAACGACAGTGTGTTATGTTTAGATCTCAAGATGCTTTTACGGATGATGAGGCTTCTGTTTTTTCTGATATCTCAAAAGCTAGTAAAGAGGAACAAGAGAATTCTGTCAGTACATTGCAAAACGGTAAAAAGGTAAATTTCGTTATTTTTTTTTTAAACTGTTATCCATTGCTATTAATTGATGAGTAATTTGACTTTCAAGTACATAGCTGGCAAATTAATTCTGATCATTTGGTTGTCTAGCATGTTACTAATTTCAATTTATTATTTATTTACAGTTTATTTCACAGTCGAATCCTGTGATCTGCATTAGCAACATTAGCAGATCTGATACTTTTGTTCGCGAAGAAAGCCAACAAGTCAACGCCGAAGACCAGGAAGATGTTTTCGAAGATGTTGCAAATGGTGTTGAAATGGATGATTTATCAAGTGATAATTTTCAAACATTAGTGAGCGAATTACAACAGTCCACTAGGGACATCATGGTGAAGCTGAGAAATTTAGAAGTATAATTCAGAAATATAAATTTAAGATAAGATATCTGTATAACGAAATATATATTATTTGTGCGTGCATTCATTTATTTTACAGCGATTGCCGCAATTGATAAGATCAAAAAAAGTTACAGCAAAACTTCATCAACCACCTGTGCCTAGTGGTCATTCTAGTCCCCATCGTACTTCAACTATGAACAAAACAAAGGTGCTACCTAACATTTGCAGGTCAAGTTCTGCCTTTCCTAAAATGCCAACATCTCCTAAGTTGCTTACAACAGAAAGTGGAAATATTTTTGCGAGACGTAAAAGTACTGGCGGAATCGGGACTAAAGCATCTATTGGAAAATCTAACAAATCCAAATTGGATTATTCGATTACCCAAAATGGGTCATCAAATCTAACATTATTAGCACATAACAAGGTATCACCAGGTTCATCTGTTGAATTTCAACCTAAGGTTACAAAAAATCCGAAATACGCCCATGTTCAAAGCACTATACCAAAAGCAATCAGTCAGAAGAAAAAGATGCATGATGATAAGACATCAAAATAAAGTAATTAAAATGATTATATATTTATATATTAAAAAACAATTTTAGTGTGAAATATATTTATGCGTTATACCATGCATGAATGCATGTATTTGCTTAATGATTTGTGTTCACAAACTTATATATTTATAAAATTGTTTAATGTGTTACTTATATATATATTTATTGTTACTTATTATTTATGCAATTTTTTGTTAGAAATTTGCAAGACTTGTAAAAATTGATGAAACAGTATGGCATGTATTTTTTAAATGCTAAGAACATTTTGTCTTTATTATTTAATATTTACTTTATTAATATGCCTTTATAGTTAAATATTATTATATTATTGGTAAATTTTTACACATTAAGAGTTTGTTATATTTAAATTTTATAAATATTAATGTAAGTCATTAAGTAAATACCTTCACTTATACGTGATGTTTAGCAGTCTGGTGCGTCTACCGTATGATTTCTAGCGCATGAATTTGTCTGTCATAGGTTAACTTCTGATATGAATTTTTGTTTACTTTGCTATTGCTAAATATCGAACACTTTATATATTCTAAACGTAGCGGCTGTGTGAAAAGAGAGTGCAACGGAAATTGTTAAACTGATCTCCGTCAAATTTGATTTAAAACGTCGTCGCAAGAACAAATTTCTACGCAAGAACAAATTTCTACGATGTAATTTTCGAATGTGAGACTTTCTCTCGTCATAATTTTTATCTCGTACAAAAAAATCCAAAAATATAATTATTTTATATTCGTACATCAACAAAGAATTATTGAAATGTTCTTAAATATTTTAAATTACCATTTTTGCCGATTTGAACGAAGTTCTTTTGAAAAATCAATTAAAAAGCTTTTAATTAAAATACAAAATTAATTTAATTCAATACTTCGTTTCTTTCATCTCGGAAGGGTTAATACGGAATTCTCCCTTCGCTCACTGCGTGAGACAGAGATAGCAAAATAACTATTAGTATTCCGGTCTTTAATTATAAAAATCGTGTAGGCGGTGCTTTGGCACCGTGAGCCTTCATCAATCATCCGTCAATCCACGTCCACGAAAACGATTCTTCTAGATTACACGATCTTTGCCCTTGAAAGGCAGACCTTCGTTACTAGGAAGCAGGTAATCTTGAAGCTCGTAATTAGTGCTCACCTGGTGAAGACTATATCTCATAGCTTTCGTGGCACTCGTTCGTTACGTTAACGTATAGAAACTGCGTAATTCTATATATTATTTTATTTTAATGAATTCATTTCCATCAGAAATCCATTCCTCCGTCATCCGTCTCACAACGCGGTCTCACCGCGGATGCGGTAGCAAACTGCATCTGTCCTTAAGTGCACTCTCGGCGAAACACTCTTCAGCTTAAAAAGTGTTTCACTTGTTGACGTGTCAGCCGAGCCACTCACCCGGCGGACTCCGAGGAGCAGTCCCATCAACGACAGCGATTAGCCCCCACGATTCACCTTAATGGCTGCCCGATCGTCCGTTCGCTTCCATCCGTTTCTCTTTTCGACGTTATTAAGTAGGCGCGAAAATGCAAAGTGAAACGGGACAGGAGGGGGACATCGTCGATCCTCCGCGCCTCGTCTCCGTCACGATATAATCGTGAGTCGCACGACCGTATATTTTATTTTTCCATTTTTATGACGCCGTTCCTCGAAGTTTTATCACGGCATATTAATGGAGGAGGAGTACACCCAACGAAAATTATATTTACAAGCGTTCGTTAGAGCTTTCGTACGGTAACAAACGGATAATTATGTGTCACCGGTCGATAAATTTATTCGATAAATAAATGAGCGATATAAACTCGTGTTTTATATTTAATTGTAAAATTATAGGATACGTCAATGTGTGTGTTTCCAATTGCAACGATAGCAATTAGCTTTCATGAGCGCCTCTGTACGAGCGACTAGTTTCTATATATACTTAAAACATTGAAAATGTATAGCCCCAAACTATATATATAAAAAAATGCATTTTAAAATAGAACGAACAAAAAGAAATTGATAAATGAGAATTCATCAATAATACATACGTCGCCGGTACCATCTTTATTATCGTGATTCGAGGGCTGATATGGCCATGACCGTGGGCACAGCTGCCACTTTGCCGAGAAACGAATTTGTAGCTGTGCGCGCTCCATCTTTTTGTCTCATCGAATCACTTCCTGGCTCCCCCCTTCCCCTTTCTCGTTCTTTCGTTCTGCTGTAGCCCGAACGAGCCCATTTTTGGCTCGTACGTCCGTAGACGTGCGCATACGTGTGCGCAGCGAAGGACGTTTCTGCGGACAAACCGATTTGGCGTGCAAAAACGGATCGCATCTTTTTAAAACATACTTGAGGGCCGAAGAAGCGTCCGCAATTTCCGCCTGATGGGGTGCACAGGTGTGCGCGCGTGTGCGTGTGCATTCTTTTGTCGGCGCGTCGCGCTAACAACGGTCCTCCTTCCGCACTGCGTGGTCACGCAATGACAAATCCTATAAATCATAAAACAAACCACGCGTTTAGCCTCCGCGCTGTAGCGTAACGCGGCCGAAAAATTCCCTCTCGTCCGAAGGTACTAAATTACTCTTTTTTCGACGAACACGTCTTCGATGCACTTGAATTTATAATAACAAAAAGTGTACTCCTCAACAAAATTGAAGAGGCTATGAAAGCAAAGTATTTAAGCCTTAAAATAATCTTTTATTATTCTTCGTATGATATTGTAAATTCGTATTTTGTCCATCGATTCGAAGAAGTCCTTTATTCATTTTATGTTAAGAAATGTAATAAGACATCGTAAAAATAATTGTATATTTAAATTATGTTTAATTGTGTATTTAAATCGTGCGAAATTATTAAAGTTTACTTTTTATGAATAATATGAATAATCTTTGCAGATTTATATAATCTTCGTAAACGTATCGGTCCTTGCTTGCTGAAAACAATCATTTTCTTCAAGATTAATATTCCCTTTTATTCGTGACATCGCCGGCCCTTAAATAAAGCTGTCACACCGCCTTGGGATGAATTGCACCTCCGTTGCAGTAACCGCGCAATGAGGCCGGCAAAGCGGACGCGGTGGTTCACAAGCGCGTAATCGCGTTTGCATGCAAAGTCACTCACGCGACCGACTCGACGGCGCGCGGCGGCGTCGGCGACGGCAACGGCGGCGCGAGTCTGCAATTTCGTGCACTCGCTCGAAAACCGGCCACCCCGACACCTGTTGTCGAAGTATACGCTTGATGATTCCCTATGCTAAGCTCGCGACGTGGCAAAAAGTCGGCCAGTCGGGCTCGTTGCGGGGCCCTGGGGGCGATCGGAAGCGGCACGGGGCGAGCGAAAGGGGGGCAGACTATGGGCGTTCTTTCCCCACCTCGTTGGAGCCCTACTCGATTCTTACGTGTTCGTAAAAGTATCGACTTGAAGGGGAAAGAGGGGGGGGATGATTACGCGCGTCTTTTTAACACAAAAGGCTCGAAAACCAACACCGAAATACGACGAGCAGCGGCGTGCCCTGTAATCGACAACGTCCCAGACCCGGGCTCTCCCTTCGTGATGAGACAACCATTTTCAAAATTGCGATAGTCGCCTGCAAATAAGGCGAGAGATGGGCACCGCAGCCGGACGTTGTAGCTAACCGAGGGCCCTGGGCCTCTCGTGGCCGAGTTATTATTTGTTTTTGCCCCGGGGGACCATCACGGTGCTTATCGAGTCACCGTTTGCTTCAGCTGCAACGGAACGTTACGCCCAGTTTCGGAAAAAAAAGAACAAGAAAAATCGTCTGTCCCGTTGGACAACATACACGTGGGAGTCGCAATTTTCGTCGCTCAAAGTATGATAATACATCTTTTGCGTTTCAAAGGTATTGACTGACATATCGATTAAAACTTTTTTATATTCTTCTCATGAGAATCAGAAGATATGTACAAATAGGTATACATTTTAAGTAAGATGATTTCATTCTCTATCACATACTCCACTTTGTATTGTATGATCTGTAAACGCATTCGAGAATGTGTTACATTGTCGAGAATTATGTTTGAAAGCAGAGATTGCAGAAGAAAATCACCCGGCATTCCTTCATCATTGATCTTAGCAAGTTTGTAATCCACTGGTCGATCAAACCGCTAGTTATGATACATCGCGCAAACTATACTAGAGCGATACGAAAAAAATGACGTAGGCGCGAATCGAGCAAAATTGGCGAGGAACCATTCAAGACTTGGATTCGGCTGCAATCTCTGCTCTGGGGCATTGGCGGCTCTCGAGCGATAATTGATATCACCTGCCATGTAAATATCGGGTATCGTCGTTTGCCGAACCTGTCGGCGGAAAAAGGGGCCAGGGCAAAAGGAATTGTCGAACGCAACCGCCGGTGAGATAATTACGTGTTGGTTTTAGAAAAGGGGGAAGCACCGGTTAATTCCACGCTTCGTGGTCCGCGCAAAAAGCCGCCTGCGGCCACGAGTTCCTCTGTTCAAATTAGGCGACGCGCAGTGTGAGAATCTCAGCTAGAACCAGAACGCAGATCGAATTCTAGACTTCCAAATGTGTCAGTATTGTAGAAAGATGCGTGGAATGTTAGGCGAACGAATATAACCGCTAAATTCAATAACAAATTAATATCTTTATATATAATTATCTCCATGTATGTAATTATTATATGCAAATACATGTTTCAAAATATTAAAATTATCGTTATAATATATTGCTACCTATACATTTAAATATAGTGCGTTAGCATATAATCTTTTTCGCTCGCAGTTTTATATCCATTTTGTGTTATTTTATCGTTGAAAATCATCTCGATCTTATAGAATAGCGCGGTTTAGTCGAGCATTGTAAACTTTCGGCTGGCCAATGATTTGTGTGCCAGTCCGATAAAGACCGGCGAACGCCTACCGTTTTGTAGTTCTGGCGTTCTTATGTTGTGCATAACACCTCGGCCGTGAGCCGCTTAGCACCTCGGACGCCATACGGTTTAAGACAGTTCGCATATCTCGATCTCGCTCTCAACACCTTCCTTATCGATGATTCCTTTTATGCTCCCGTAATGACACGCTTCTCGGCATGCCTGCGGTGGCGGATGCTGTTAAAAAATAGACAGAAAGGAAGCACGACGTTTGTTTAGCAACACGATAGTTTCAGCAGGGAGTAGAAGGTAAGAGAGACCGGTATCTCAAGTCCTTTCGATTTATTCCGAGAACGCTAATGTTGAAGAAGCGGAGCAAAGAGCAACGTATTTTCAATTTTTATGCAAAAATGCTTCAACAAAAAATATATGTAGTATTTTGAATGATTTTTCTTTTGAATTGCATTTAACATGTTTGCTATACAGAAAAAAGAAGAAGTATCAAATCAACACCCATACACTCGTATATACGCAACAATCTATAATCTTTGAGATTATATTGCGTTAAATGAAGAAAACCTGCCTGAATGAGGTCATTTATAAAGTTAAACAAAGTTTTATATAGTTCAAAAAAAAAAAATTAAAATTATTATAAGAAGATTATAGATTGTTGCGCATACATATACGAGTATATAAGTATTGATTCGACCTCTCTCCTCTGTGTAGTTTTAAAATACATACATAAATCCAATAGTTTTTAGAATTTAAAAGATATAGAATCTCAATTTGTTTCTTTTTAGCTGCGTCTATCAATGTATAGAATGATCCAGTGATGATGGGATGCATTAGATTTTTACATTAACATTTTTTTTTGTAAAAATCTAATGCGTCACTTCAGAGCTTCTGTTTTATTCGATTCTTTAAGATTTGACGTTTCGATAATTAGGTAAGCGTTCTTAGATCACAATTATCTATAATTAACGAAACAAAAACGTATTTTAAAGATGCCCATCTAAAAAGCTCCGGAACGAATCTCATCCCACACGTTTTCGCGTATCAAGCTTAGAAATCTTCGATCGACCCCATGTCAAAGCTTAACGTGCAAGTAAGAAATGATTGAGCGCGAAGGAAAATCCTGTCTGGAGATAGACGCCATGGCTGTCATTTTTGATTTAGGTCTCAGATAGCCGATTCGAAGCGTTGATAACGGAAGAGTTTGAACGGCGGTCTGTAATTAACAATATTAAAGGTAAATTTGCATCGCGGCGGGGGAGGAGCGAGCGACCGCATTGTGCATTCTTGGTAGTCTTGCCACCGTATATGATAAGTTGTAATTAAACTGATTGGCACGTGAGATACGCGTGATGTCGTGAAGAATATGCATTAACACGACGAGATCGGAGGTTATCAAAGAAAGTAGGGAAGTGTTGCGGTACTAGGACATTAGTGGCGATATAATTATCGGGTCTGTAAAGAACGCTGTTGATTATTGGCGCAAATCGCGCATCTCTGATCGACTTCTTTCGTGGAAGAGCATCATTCGCGAAATCGCGAAGATACATGCTTCAAAGATGAATTGCCAAAGTTTTATCGGTCTGGCTCTTCGAGAGAATTAAGAAAGGGCATTAAAATTATTGAAATTTATGTCGCCAAACGGCACGCTCGTTACGCTTTGCCGCGTACATTAACGATCGTCCATAAAGAGTGGCCCTCCGAGCCAGAGACAGCGATCGAGATCGGTCTTCGTTATCTTCTTAAACAAATTGCACTTAACCACTCGTCGCGGAGCGTTGCGCCTACTCTCGAGCGTCAAAAAGTCACTGTACGCCGCCCTCTTTCTGTCCCCGTTCGCGACGACGCGCCCCTCGGACGCGAAAGGGCGGTCGCGGGAATCGGCGAAGCGTGCTCGTAAAAAACTGCGGGTCCGCTATTTATGGCAGCTTAATTAATTCCTATGTGTTTTCGGCCACTTCCCATGCACAACGCCCCCCCTCCGCGCGTGTCTTTATGGCTCTTCATGAGATATAAATGATCTGATAAAATGTTTAAACGCCGTCGCGCCCTCCGTCTCCCCATTCGGAACGCTATTATTACAGAAAAACAAAACTGCCTGTAGAAGCCGCGGGAGACGCGCCATAAAGGGTGCATCTCGGCTTTCCGTTCCTCGTCGCTCAGGATATATCTCATGCATATTCATAGTTTAAAGGGGGCATTCTTAGAAGCCGTTGGGACCGAATCGCCGTTCATCTCGCGATACATTCGATTAAAAACGCGGGGAAGGTACCTACTATTTCTGAATACCGCGCGCAACCACGCGAGTTTATTACCGATGTAACGCGCGGCGTGTGTCGGAGGCCTTCGAGCTGAGTTAAGTTTTCGATTAAGGAAAACGAAATATTGC